GTGTGCGATGACTAGAAGAGGCACAATTTGATAACTCACAAGGATGTATCATCCTCCTTTCATAATTCGTAGGCAAACAATCAGGCTGATAAACCAACCTTCTTATCTTCCCAAGTTCATATTACCTAATCATTATTATCTCCACCAAGTTCAATTCAATTATATAAAATATTAAAATATTGCAGAATAGTGAGGAGAAAGATTCGAGCCGAATTGTAAAGGCGTAGCATCATATCGCTAATACTTAATTTTAGGCGAATGCATACGCATTAGGAGCATTGCAATAAATCTTAGATTGTAATGATGAAAAAATCTGCGTTTACAGAAAATTGTGACAACGTATATTAGCTCACATGAACTATTCATTCACTCAACATAACGTACAATTTTATATAATATTCTAATAAATTTGCAATGCCGAAGTATTATAAAATGCTCTTATCTAATAACTTAGAGGCCAATTAGGGTATTATGGAAAATCAAACCATTACTAGTTAGGTATGAAGAAAGCAATTTATATGATTCATGTTATTCTACCATGAACAATAAATAGGATAAAGGAATCAATTTAAATCTAAGCTGTGCATAATCGTAGCATCCTTTCAGAATACTTATAGTATACATAAATACCAAAATGAACTTACTAGTTTCAATGGGGCCTGAATCTTCTGACCGACAACTTGGATTTTTATGCTCTAAAAATTCATCTGAAACACATTCAGAGGATGGCTTAGTTGGTTCAGTTCCTTGACCGGCAGACCTTCGGGGCTGATAGTAGAGGTAGTTAAGCATAAAAGTAAAACAGGTACTATAAAAGAAAGTAACTGACATTTTCAGCAGAGTTATAAGGTTAGGATAAAGCAAATGTACAGCTAAGGATCGTATTCCTAGTAAAATGACCTTATTTAAAGATGATAAGACCCAAATTGGCTTATCAATTGAAAGAAGAAAAACATCTAGAGCCTCTTCTCAAAGTTGCTTTAAACGGATAAAATAAATTGCCAATGGTTTTGCGTAGCTCAATATAGTTAAATAACTTGGCGACCACATGAACACAGAATCTTGTGACAGTGATATCATGGCAATGAGTAATAGATCTTCCTAGGAGAGGCTATAACTGAAGATGTCAGGAGTTAAAAAAAATTGCTTTCACCCACCCCTTCTTCAACAGTTCATCTAGCTTTCTAGAGATAGGGGATGACGGCAAAACCATGGAATGAGAAAATGTTTTAGACTGCCTATCCCTGACCAAATAGCTACTGCTCCAAAATTTCTTCTTTTTCCTAATTATATAGCTAAACTAGTAGGGAAGTAGAGGGTACAACATTTTTTAAGGAAAGCATGACATTTTATTCGGTTAAGCTCTTTTTTAGAGAGAAATATTATTCAATTTTAAGATCTAGCTATTACAAGATTTGTGCTCATGATCATAGGACCTGGTTAGCTGAACATAAAAATAGCGGTCAAAAATTACTGAACACAGAACAGAAACTGGAGTCGAGATAGAATGGTCTTAAGCACAGAAGTTTGCTGATTAGAGTACAAAAAATCCAAGAGAAGCTATTGAAATTAATAGGTTAGGGTATACGATAAATGTGGGAATAAAGGTAGAAAGTGGTAACAACTACGTGGGGTCAATTGCTAGACTTAGGGAGAGATAAAGATTGTTGAGCCAATCAGTTGATCAGATCAGTTATTGTTTACATTGGTTCAACAGTTCTATTGAGTCTACAAACTCAACCAGACATACGGCATTACGAAACCCCAGTCATTCTGCTTGATGACATTGGGCTGACAAGTAATGACTGGTTGGTCTTGTTGTCAGGCGACTTAGTAGAATGCACCTAGTCCGAAGTCGTTTGCCATAGTAGTTGTTATGATTCCCAGTATCAGACAATGGATTTGGTACATTCTCAAACGTTTCGTCGGCATTGTAGTCAGCATCATGAGTGAGTTTCACCATTCTCCGCACCAAGCGGCTCGCCTTCTTTGTGTATCTTCGGTAATCCGTATGCTGTTGGTGGTCGTGCATCCTTTATTATGATTTAATTTCTTGTCCATGTGTCAATTTTCCCATTCCTATGAATATCTTTCATCTTGGGACTTAAGATTCTATTGATCTTCATAGTTGGTTCCTTGTTTAGTATACGACATGTGGTCCTGTCTCGTAGAATCTGTTCCATCTTCTCGGTATATTGTTTTGTATCCATTATAACTGTAGGCCCTCCTTTGTCCGCCTGAAGGACTAATATTCATTCATTTCCAGGGTTTTGCGTATCAGGACAAATATGTTCCTGTGTGTTGGCTCCTGATGTGTCTTTAGAATTAGTTCCATCACCATTTTCCGTTCTCTCTCTTCAGGGAACTTGTCGGCGATATTGATAACCTCCAGCAGGATGTCTCCTAAAAAGCTTCTGTGATGTTGAATTGATAAAAGGATTCCTTTTTCAAGGAACGCAGTTGTTTCGGGATTGAGAGGAATTGATGATAAATTTAGAACTTTCTTCTGATCATTGTCTTGATCATAAGTTGTTGTTATCTTCGACGCCACTTCAACTGGGCATATTGTCTTTAACTTAGGGTGTCTTATAATCCCAAACTTATGCAATTTATCATAATACCGTTTAGTTATTAAGTTAAAAATCCTACGTGATAACATGGGTTTAATCAAGGAGAGGACTCATGAAGAGAAGGCCTGAAATCTGCCATCATGTCAATCAGAGCTTAGATGCTCTGCTCTGTAAAAGACCAGTGACGTGCTTCTAAGGTCTTTAGGAATAGCGACTGGAGTGAAATGCACACTGTGTCTGCAACCGAGTGAAATCGGTCAACCAGAAAGATAAGGAACGGATCTACGAGACAATACGGTGATCCGGATTGTAGGCCCGAGTCGGATTAGACGATCGTAAGAGAGTTGGTCGGGGTGAATAGCAAGTGTGATGGTGCCACACTAGATTTGCCACAAAAGGTCACACATTTTGACGAGTGGAATGTAAATAAGTGAGAAGTTGTGATAGGGTGGCAGTGGAGAAAGAGGGGAAAGAGTTTATAGATAGGCCAGGACAGAAAGATGAGTGATAGTGTAACCGCTTTCGGCAGAACTATTGTCGAGGGATTGATTTCCCTTGGCTCTGACAAGTACGTAGCTTCGTGCGGAGAATGGCAAAACTCACTGATGATGCTGAATACGATGCAGGTGAAACGTTTCAGAATGCACCAAGTCGACTGTCTGATGCTGGGAATCATGACATCTACTATGGAAGACGACTTTGGAATAGCTGCGTTCAACTAAGTCGCCCTGACAACAATACCAAGTTGCTAAAATAAAATCAACCCACTACTATAAATCGAAAGGAGACTGCGACCTACCAGATGCCACAACTTCCTGGTCTTCATATCTTCAAATAAAACTGGATAATTATCTTAAAAGGGAGTTTCTTAGACTGATAACGATAGATCTGCTCACTAATGCTCCTATTAATATTGCCAAGCTTAATAGCAAATAATAGTTGACTTCATGTAAACAAGTATCACTATAACACAGGTGGCTTGCCTTTAACAACTACTTTGTTAAACAAAGAAATTATAGTGTTTGTCTAATAGGCCAACTGGTCCAGACTAGCACTAAGCATGATAATGAGGTTGAGTATTTTTCCATTTAGGATCAGGCTTTAGTGAGGAAAGAATACATTAACTTTATTATATCATTATATTGAGAGTTTTAAAGATCAATGATATTCTACAAAGGCTCAATTATTATTATTATTTAGGCATATATGAACTTTAATGAAACAGCACAAAATATTATTTTCCAATATTTTTAATAAAAGATATTTTCATTACAAATTAAAATTTACAGGTTTTGCTGTAAAAATTATTATAGCCTTATCTTTGTTTTTACGTATTCATGTGTACTAAAAAAATTGATGTGGACGAGGAATATTCGACGTATTCCAAGAACTATTAGTTTAATTTAGCTAAGGTATGAAGACCAAGTAGTGTGGCCTTTTGTGTGGGCGCAGTCTCCTTTAGTTGTATATACGTTGTTTGACCTTGTTTTCGCAACTTGGTCATATTGGTAGGAAGACTTAGAGGAACGCATCTAGTCTATTGTATGCATGATCATTACCAAAGTCGGACCGTAGACGTTGTACATTCCCAGACGTTTGGTCGGCATCGTCAATGAGTCTCGTCATTCTGAGCACAACGCGACAACTCGTCAAAGATACAAGTGGAGCCGATCCTTTGACCAAACGTGTGCTAAACAGTCGTGGTATCTCCTCTTCTGCTCTGGCTAATTTATATTTCCTATATCATCCTATCACACCTTCACTGCCACAATTTTTTACCCTCCCTATTTAGATGTAGTGTGGTGTGCTCCTTTGAGCGCTATTCATAAAAACACTTCACAATCCACACTGTCGTTCTCACCCTTTCACCCTTGTGCTGGGAATGCTGGTCAGAGTCTACCATATTGTTACGAGTCCTCCTTCCCTAGGTCTTATCACAGTCTCTCTCTTGCCCCATAAGAGCTGTCTACTCTCTCCCTGGTTCACGTATTTCATTCGACCCCTGTCACCCCATCTCAGCTACCCGAGGCGTTAGTTGTCCTCCCCTGCGTCTGTGTGACTAATTCGAGGCTCAAGCCTCTGAGTAATTCTTATCGCCAAGCCTTTGCTACATGGACCACGTCTATGATACAACAGACCTACTGTCAACCAACTAGATCCATTCTCCGCCACGTCTATCCTATTTCTATCCATATTACCAAGAATATGACCTGCTATGCCCTAGTCTCTTATGTGCCAATCCACAAGTGTTCTGGTACTACTTGCTTTGATTTGGTTCAATGTTGAACCACAATGTTTGTGGATTGGCACAGAAGAGTAGCACAGATGTGGGTGGCAGATATGGAGTGAAATACGTGAACCAGGGAGAGAGCAGACCGAGCTTATGGAACAAGAGAGAGACTGTGATAAGACTTATGGAAGGAGGATTGCTTAACAATATGGCAGACTCTGATTAACATTTCCCGCACAAGAAAGAAGGGGGGGAGGTAAGAACGCCAGCGTGAGGTGTGGAGGGTTTTCATGAATGCCGCTCAAAATGGCACAGAGAGTAGCAACTATCTCTAAATAAGCACGGAAAAATTGTAACAGTGACGGTGTGATAGGAGGATATAGGAAATGTGAATAGCCCAGGGCAGAAGTGGAGATACCACAACTGTTTAGCACACGTTTAGTCAAAGGATCGGCTTTGCATGTCTCTTTGACGAGTTGTTGTGTGGTGCTAAGAATGGCGAGACTCACTGACGATGCCGGCCATACGTCTGGGAATGTACAACGCCCAGGGTCCGACTTTGGAAATGATCATGCATACAATGGACTTCGAACTAGGTGCGTTCCTCTTAGTCTTCCTACAAATATGAACAAGTTGCGAAAACAAGGTAAAACAATCTCTTAAGTTAGCTAAAGTCGAAATACAAATAAATACTAGTATTTATGAACATAGACAAGGTATGATTGTCGACTTTCTCTTGTAACTTACATCTAACTAGTAAATAAATGATACTAGGATGATAACTGGCTATTTTTTTAGAATCGTTGTCCACAGATCCACAAACATCGGGCTAAAATTCTACTAGTGATGATGAATACACTTAATGTAGCCGCAGGTGCAATCCAATCTGATCAGGAATATATATTAAATTAATATTGCGCGACGAATTTGTGTCATTAAGGCAAGTCACTGCGGAGTGACCAGCCCTAATTCTTGAAATGTCAATCGGCCCGTGATATACTATCGCTTTTAAATGAGCTACAAATAACTTCAAAATCCTTACATAATTCAATCTGCCTCTAAGTAACTCATTTATGCAAAGACATATACAAAGTTTATCTTTATGCAATTGGACCCTTATCTAGAGTAGCAACTTAGATTTTAGTTATAACTTGTAAAATTATTTCATCGAAAATTATAGAAGAATTAGACAAAATAAAATATCAAATTGAAGCAAGCAACAATATCAAGCTAACAATAAAGACTAGAAAGTAAAATTGACTTAAATACTTTATAACATAACATTTATCTTACGTTGCTTATCACCTTTTCTTTATTTTTTATCAGGATAATTCGAGGTTCACTTGATCCAACCTCTTCTTGCAGAATATCTGATGCAAAATAATTTGCATTGGCTTGTTGAGGACTTGCATTAAGTTCAGACTTGGGATTGATGATGACATCACGAACAGCTAAGGTCTTAAGAGTGGCAGTCATGCAGTCCATCACAGCATTTACCTCACTTTCTTCTCTACTCCTATGTCGATATTACGATATAAGGCGAAAAAGTACGTCAAGGAATAGTATTATGTCTAAGTAATCAAAAGATTTAATTTAAAAAGTTAATGAAAAATATGTAGGTAAAGTTTTATAAATATTGAAAAATGGTTAGCCCATATAACTCAATAATGAATACCAAAGATTCTTTAGCTATTGCAGAAGTTAAAAACATTTCATGATTTCAGGCTCAAATGATCAAAACAAGATGCAAAGTAAAATAGCCTAGCAAGATATCTATAATAAAACCTGACCACTATTTATTGATCAAAGATGAACAAGTAAATGCAAGAAACATCACAAAGCTCTAGAGTACAAGGAGTCTGTGTGAACAAGAGAATGTTGAAATCTCTTAACCTTTTAACATGAATCTTAATTAGGGTCGTTTAGTTTAAATGGTAAAGATAACAATCCTAAGAATGGGGGTATGACAAAGGATTATAATACATCAAAGATATTTACTTCAATACTATTTCGGAGTAAAATTGACATAATACACCACTGAGGTTAGATAAAATGTTAGTTGTCTATACTTATAAACATATATCAGTAAGCTACCAGTCAATTTTGTATTTTTTTCGTGAGTTACTATGTCTTTGAGATTCCTATAGTAGTGAAGACGGGGGAAATTATCATGGAATTCTTCTAATTCTCTCTGACAGAACAACCAAATTTAGAAAACGAGGTCAAACCACTTCTACACAATGAAGGAAGACCGCGAGCATACTAAAGTCCACAACATATGGGTATTTATAATTTTGAACATTATTGCCCCTTTACACAAATCGTTGCTTCTATTAAAGAATGTCCTGAGGCATAACTTAGTCATTCAAAAACCCGTATTTTCTAAACCGCTGATTTAAGTGCAAAAATACTAAGCAATAATCCCAACAAATTCAGATCAGAGCCACGTAAAGAGGTAGTGCTTCCGATCCCATGTACCAACGAGTAAAACTTCTATAGGTATAAACTCTGTCTAAAAGTTAACAAGTTTTACTTCATTCATTATGCTTTTTGGCTGAAATAATTAAGGAAATAACTAGTTATCACTTTTTGAAGTTGAGTTCTTGATTTTTAGGTTAGAGAATCGTTTATTTATGCCTTATGCTGCTGAATTGTTGGATTCATAATGCAAACCTAAAGTATATGTCTAGAACGACCAATAACAATTAAATAGGTCGGCAGATTATACTTATAATCTATAAAAAATTCTTTTAAACTGTATTTTAGTCGCCTTATACTTAAATAGGTGAAAAAATATGTTTCAGGATATATATTTTTTATTTTCAAGTATAATAAAAACTTTTCCTTGTACCAAAACAAAAGCCAAACCCGTCGTAATATTTTCTTATAATAAAATGGTGCGTCAAACCCATTTTAAAATTTGTCTATAATTATACATAAGCAAGCACCATAACACATTTGATGTAAATAAAACATCCTGGCAGATGATATAGATAGGCTTGGCATAAAAAAGTATCAAGGGGCAATAATTTGAAAATAATTTAGACATATCATAAACTTGATAACGAAAACTTGTAGAATACTTTGAAAAATATTTTCGTGAAAAATTTTGTATAAAACTATTTGCCATTAAACAAATAAAAGAAGACCCACTCAGAAAGTTGCCGCCTAGGAGCTAAATAAATAGACCGATCATTTTCCTCGACTTCACTGTCCCCGGACTGCGGCCTGCTAATTGAAACAACTTTGGATCCGGAATCGGACATATCCCCCAAGCTATTGTCGCCGGAACCTTTGGCGCGGTGTTCTTGGACGTCTAAACTTGATATATTGGGGCTAGCTTCAGCAGGGGTAACTGGAAGCCGACGAAGATCAGGTAGAAATAATAATTTCTAAAAAAGAATCCGTATGTAGTGTAAAAATTATAAAGCATCCATGAGATATGCATAATCGTACAGATTAATAAATACAGATAAAAGCGATCTCTAACAATAAGCACAAAAATTGAAACTGTTACATCATCCCTAAACTTTAACAGAAAATGGTAAAGTATAATAACACAGGAAACATAAGACTAGGTTAGCAAAATGGACAGCAAAGCATAAAAGGAATCAACACCTAGGAACTTAAATAGCATCACTAAATATCAATGCCAACGCCTTTATCTAAAAGGAGTTAGGAGGGAGAATCAAGTGAAGATTGATAAATTATATGTGAGAGACAACTCAATGTGGCTTAGTACGTAAAAATAAAAAATATTCCTTTCATAGATAAAGCAATTCTTAAAAAGTAACACCAAGACAGGTAATTTTTCATATTTTCACTAACGGTTTTCATAAACTACTGATAAAAGAAAAGCTTAGCTAGTTCCTGCCAAGAAGAAAATTCACGTTAAATAGATTTGGAATAGCATCATTAAGATAAAGTACTTGTACTTTCCTTCAGGTGAAATACACTTAAATCTAAAAATGTGAATATAGGAATTCATAAAAGATACAAATAGATAATATTCACAATAAAGGCATTGATTATTTGGAAATTATGGAACACATTCACTTTAAATCAAAATAAAGATATCCAATATTGGTATCTATGAAAAATTCAAATAAGTATCTTGAAGTATGATAAAGATGTAATTAATCTACTAATATGATCATATTTAACGAGACATAATAGTAACCCATGTAAAGTAGCTAAAGGAAATTGTTAATGCTTTTGACTTTTTCTGCTCATTAAAAAAATGAGCCGGAAATAAGAATCAAGCTTCTCATCAAAGGAGATAATAACTACTCTGAAAAATTATTTATCCTTATCGGCTCAGTATTTTCGTAAAGGAATGCTAGCGGTGAGAATTTTGGGCCTGACAGGAGAATCTAAGACAAAGAAGGTGGTATCTACTCCAAAAAGCCTGTAATCGACAGATCTGCTCTAGCGAAGCACACCAAAAAGACCCAGCTTGTCTGCAGCATCGTCTCCGGCTTACTGACTTCCTGCTTGGTCTGAGATCATTTGATCCTTTGGGCACCAATTTTGCCAGGCAGCTATTCCTTTGTACTTCTCGATTGTGTCT